AAAAAAAAAAAGAAACAGAATTTATATTTTAAATCTTACCTATCATCTTGGCGTGGTGAATAACGACGACGATTTCTAGATGAATCATAATCTCCACCACGAGAATATCGATCATTACCACCATTATTAAATGAACCACCTCGACGGCCGCCAATAGTACGTTTACGAGCAAATGAAACACCAACGCGTGAATTATCAATCATTCTATATAAAATAAAAGATTATTATCTTTATTTTGAAAATAAAAGAAAATCAAATAAACTTACTTTCCATCTAAAGCCTGCATAGCATCTTCAGCATCGGCGCGATGTTTAAAATTTATAAATGCAAAACAAGGTGGATTTGTTGCCATCCATACCTAAATCATTTCAAATAATAAAAGTCTATTCGATTGTTTTGTTTCGAAGAACATACTTCATTTATTGTACCAAATTTTGAAAAAATTTTTTCAATATCACGTCGAGATGTACGTGGATTCAATGGTGATATATGTAAACGATAACCTGAATCACCATCCCATTTTGGTGCTTGAGCTGCACGACCACTATTTAAAAAAAAATTCATTGAAATATAAAAAACAAACAAAAAAAAAATACAAATTCATACGAAGATGTTGATGATAATGAACGTGATCTTGACCTTGATTTCGAACGTGATTTTGAACCTGCTGCTCCGCCTTGAGTTCGATTTCGACTTTGGCTCATCTCTTCTTTTTCTTTTCTTGCTGATAATTTAAAGAAAACTTTTATCTAAAAAAAATCACCAAAAATATATAATAAATATTACATAAGTAATTTTTTTCAAGTGATATTTATATGACGACGATATCTTGTTTTCATATGGTAAAAATAATTCACTAGCAAGAATAATCATAGTCTAAAATTTGAATAACAATCAAGAAAAAACTGAATGGATGGAGGCTATTATCATTGTAAAATATGGATTTTGTATCTGATTGGTTTATAATTTGTGTATAAGCATTGAGTCTATTGCCTTTGGTTCATTGGTTCATTTCAAAAGACCACAAATTTGTACATGTCAGTGTATACACGTCATGAGTGACATCTTGCGCATTAACTTGCCACGTACGAATTGGTTTGAATGGATATAAGATTAATACTCGAGTTTGAACAAGATTTGATCTACAAATCGTATGCTTGAAATTTTATACATATATAAATAGTAAATTATTGTTGAATATTATCGACAAATTTTTTATATTTATATTTTTCTTTTGTTTTTGTCGTTGGACTTTTCATCAGGAAATCCTTCAAATGAAGCTTTTTGTTACAATTTAAAGCTTTCATATGATTTCGATCATTGATCGGATCATTTCTTGTTTGTTTAATCATAAGTGAATGCACTTTTCTCGACAGGTTATATCTTTATTAAAGACATATCGAGATAGTTCTCACGATAGAACTCGACTCGTTAAGTTTATCTCGTCAGTGAATCTCTTATTGGTTTTTGTAAAGTGATGTGCACATGAGAACTCTATTAGGTATGAGTACACGATTGAATTGTCGCCAAATAAGATTGTTTTATGAACAAGCTGTGTATGTTTTTGAGTTCTGATTTCGTTTTCAATTCTTTTATTGTTCTTTATTTGCTTTCTATGTTCATAATTGGAACTGTCTTATGTATGATCTTTTACTTTTTTTCCATTTACTCGCTCTTCTCTCTTAACTCAATGCTATGCAAATTTTTTTTTTGTTTCTTGGTAGTGCAAAGCTATAAAACCGACTATATAAATAAACTATATAATTTAAAAAAATCAAGCCTCATATAACCCATGAGAACATTTTATGAGAAAATATGTTCAGAAATTCACTTGTTTTGTTGACACAATATGTTACGCATTAATTAAAGGAACACATCAAAAGATATATTTATTCAAATTTGTGTACAATCTATATTACTCCATTGTTTATTAACATACTTGACAAATCTATAGTTTCAAATAATATTAACTATGTATTCATCTTTCACAATATCTCAAATCAATATAACGAAATTAATAACAACATTAAAGGCACTCAGATATGTTAGCTTACTATAATCAAATATATAAAGGATTCCATATTTGCTGGTGCTCTAGGTTATTGTTTAGTTTCTAACAGATCAATCGCTGCAAATATACGTAATGCATTAACACATAAGTAGAGGATGTGTAAATGAAATTTCATGAATTTATTATAATTAACATTACAATAAAATTCATTTGAGAAAAATCAGCTATAACAATAGGATAACAAAAGTTAATATATGAAGAAACCATTTTCAATTTTTATTGTGCTTACAGATCTAACTCACTTGCTCATTTGTCAAACATATAGAACTCATTCAATGGCGAACCATCATTGTGGCAAAGTGTGGCAGTTGCCACACCAACGATTTTTATTCATTATGTGTTCTCCCGTACGACTGTTTTTTTCGGTCTAATCTGTTATCGGGAGCCTGCAAAAAGAAAAATAAGACCAGAAGTGACTCCTACTGTTCCATAGAGGTATCCTCAGATAGGCCTCATTTGCCTGTTTTTCTAGAGCTGATATGGACATTGATTATTTATTGGTTCTTTTTCTAGTTTTTATGGAATTTAAAAGCGTCTGCGGGATAGTTTTTTACTAAAGAAAGAAAGATTGGATAAGGCCTTATGTTTTCAAGTACATTTGATTCATACTCTATCCTTTGGATATTATGCTTTGCTATTAATTTCAAAATCGGAAGGAACAAGTTCTATTGAGACATCTTGGACTTTAAGAAGGTAATAAAGTAATGCTCGTAACTAATCGAAACATATAGTATAAAAATCCTTTGAACATATATGTTGTAGATAAAACTAAAATTCAGGCAAATTTAAAATTTGCCTAGACAACATTGAAATTTTAATTTTGACGAGATATTGCTTAGGCAGAATCGAAATTTAAATTTCACCTAAGCAAAATTAGAATTCGACTAGAGATAAATTCATAACTGAATAGAATAATCTTTTTATTCAACAATATCTAGGTGAGGAAATTTACTGCTATCCGCTAGTTACGTTATCACGTACCTAACATTACAGAAGCTACTAGTTCCTGGGTGATCGGTAAATAATGACTTTTGCATTACTAGTTATCAGATTAGAGTAACGTCGTGAACCTAGTAACTGCAATGGATAACCCAAATTTTCTGACTTGAATAAGGGAAAGGTATTTTTGAAAAATGACAATATTTCCTAAGTTTTAATCAACGATTTTTGGAGTCGGGAAATCCAAATCTATAAGTGATTGCTCTCAAATCATGAGTTCGATTTTGTTATTAGGGGGAAGGATAATTTTCGAAAACAGTGATCTTATTCTATTCCTAGCGAAAAAGAACGAAACTCGGAAATTTCTAGAAGTTACTTGTAGGTTCGATTCATTGACTTCGAAACTCTTTAGCCACAACTTTAGGAAATACCATTATTTTTCGAAAAATACCTTTTCCTTATTCAACTCAGAAATTTTGCGTTATCCATGCAGTTACTAGATAAGGCGATGTTATCATTATCTGGTAACGTAACTAGCGGGTAACAGTAAAATCTCTTGCAAGAATGTTGTTGAATACAAAAAAATGATTTAAATTTTAATTGTTTTGGTAAGGATTTTTTATGATAAGTTTGTGATGCCATTTTTTTCGTTTTTTTTTTCTCATTTTTTTAAGAGTGAAAATAATAAATATAAAATGAACAGGATGAATACAACAGAAACTTCTTAGTATGATAATCGAAGTATGTGAACAAAACTTAAGGCTTGATTTTTTTATAAGTTTTTTACACTTTAATAATTTTGCCATACCAAAACAAAATGACCCTGGACCGCCGATGACAATACCAGTTTCGGTCTGTAATTTCTTATTGAACCAACAATGTGTATATGAACGCTTACGGAAAGGAAATGAATGATAGGCATTGGAAACATTCTTTTTCTCTTTAATCATAGCTTATGAACGAGCGAGGAGAAAGAAGTACTATTTCACTCTAAAACTTCAGTATTGATTACAATTCTACTGCACGAATCTCTGAATGCTTCTCGTGATAATTAATTGAATCTAATCTATCGTTCACGATATACGAATATTAATGTGTAAAAAAAACCATTCCTCTAGTTCCATTCGAGATTGTATGTAATTATGATTTGTTGAAAGATTGAAATAAAAATTTGATAAAAAAGAATAATCACTGAATCAATTCTCTAAATCCGATGCGAAACATTCTAAAAGTTTCAATCAAATAATTCAAACGAAAGAAAGATTCATTTATAAATACATTCAATATTTACTTGTTGCTGTACACAATGTTTTAAACATCTATAAAGATTTCTTTGTTCATATAGAATCCACATCATTGTTCCTTTTGACGATTCGATCATTAATATATATAAATCGAGAAAATAAGTAAACAAATAAAAATTTATTTAAACTATTGACAAAAGAGCAATCTCAACTGTACTCATTTTAAAATGACACAAAAAAAGAAAGAAGAAGAAGATTGTCAGAAGTTTGTCGGTGTTTTTGCTTTCCGTTTCTTTATTTATTTATTATACAAGAATTTAATATAGTGATCGTGATTGATAAAGAATAATAGAATAAAAAAGAAAAGAAACGAGTACTTTTTATTCATTAACCATTCTTTTCCTTTTTTCTTTTCTTTTTTTTCATCATCGTTTACACAATCTAAGTTTATTTTCTATATTATGTTTTATATAATTAGAAAGAAAGCTTATCATTATATCAATATAAAAAGAACTTAAGCTTATTTATTAATCATATTGAAATATATCTATGCCCGAACCAAGTTCTACCGATATACAAGAAGCTGAACTTATTCAACATGTTTTTTATGGTAACTTGGATAATTTACCTAATCTTGCTTCAAAAATTGTACGTATTTTTACTTCATCAACGTTTACAGGTAAATTGATTGATATTTTTTTTTTGACGATAAACAAATAAAAATTCATATATTTTTAAGATACAAGTATGGAACGTAATTCACTTATGCAACATACATATCCAAAACTTAAAGAATATTGTCGAGAAAAACATGGTCTAGAATTTCAAGTAGTTGATATGCGTTGGGGTGTACGTGATGAAGCAACAGATGATCATAAAACAACAGAATTATGTATGCAAGAAATTGATAATTGTCAACGAGTTTCTGTTGGACCAAATTTTGTGGTATAGAATATATTTAAAATAATAAAGATTTCGAGAATTTTCTTAAAATTCATTTAATTCATATAGGTATTTCTTGGTCAAAAATATGGTTATCGTCCATTACCAACAAAAATTGAAGAAGCTGAATTTCGTTTAATTTTATCTGTATCAAGTCCTGAAGATGCTCGATTACTTACTCAATGGTATAAACTTGATTCAAATAATATTCCAAGTTTATTTTGTTTACAACCAGTCAGTTCAATTTTTACTAATTTTACTAATAAAGCTCATCCTCGTCTTATGGAAGAAGATCAAAGTCAATGGTGGGAAACTATGAGTAAACTTAATCGAGCGGTACGTTGTGCTGCTTTAGCACTTTTCAATCAAGGTAAATTTACAGCACAAGATAATCATCGATATAATTGGTCAGGTTAGTTAATATAATGAATATTTTTAAACAATTAAAAGCAAAAAAAGAAATTTCATTCATTAAATTTAGTTACTGAACAAGAAGTCGTTCGAGGTATATTAAATGCTAAAGATAGAGTTGATCATACATTAGCTTTTTTTCGTCATATTGAAAATATTAATATTAGTTTATTACGTCATTCAATGAAATTTATTGATATTGCATCAAAACTAATTGATGAAGAAGCACAACGTATGTTATCCGATTTACGTGATGTTCGTGTAAGTTGAATAATTAATAAAAATAGAAAGAAGAAAGAAATAATTTGAATGTCAATGAATATCAAATTTAGGTACCAGCAGCATTACCTAAATCAAGTATAATTCGATATACAGTTGAATGGTCAGATGAAGATGGTTTAAATAAAAATGTTCATGCTGAATATTTACAAAATTTTATTGATACATTTTATCAACGAATTTTAGAATTAATTGATCATGGTGTTGGACAACAGAAAAGTTTAGCAGCTAATAGGTAAAAATTTAAATATTGTTTAAATTGAACAAAAAAAACAGAATATTGAGCGTATTTATAAAGGAGGGGGGGTCGATAAGCAGTGAAATCTGCCCCCTTCAGAAATTCGACTTTATCTTAGCGAAACCATCATATTGGGTGCCCTAAAATGTTCTATTACAGAATTAATGAAATAGAGCTTGTTTTTGCTATGAACGGGTACAGTAACTTACTCAGTGGGCATTGCATTAAGAATAGTCCTGGCTTTTCATGATAAACGTCTCGCTTTATCCACTCAATACATGATCGAGCAGCCTTCTTTTCATATGGTTCGAGAGTACTTTTTGAGGGCTTTAAAATGGTATAAAAATGTTCAGGAATAAAAACTGAGCAGCAACATTTGGTATGGAGAACATTGGACCACATACTCATAAAATAAGTGAAACATCGATGATAACTAACGAAAACCTCCATCGTTGTGAATCAATGGTATTGACCACCACGCCAGTTTTCATATAGTTGATAGAACTTTTGAAGAGCTTCAAAATGATATAAAAATATCCAAGAAAAAACATTGGTCCGATAATGAGATCCTAACCACACTACAGACCGGTCAGGATTTTGAGCTTTTTTCTACCAGAAAGGAGCCGATTTCAGTTGAAAAGTGATGATTTGGATTAAAAATAATGCTATATTCTGAATTAGCATTAAAAACTGAGTAGATCTAACTCAGTTTCTATTTGTTTAGCAGATTTTTATTTTTTTCGAAAAATTCGTCCTTACTCCCCCTCAGTCATGGACTAAAAAATAAGTTTCATAAAAAATGTAATCTGGCTATGTAAAACAAGTTCTAAGGTAATAAAATGACATTTGGGCGCTGAATAGCATATAGGGAAACAATAAAAAGAAAGTTTTCATGAAATTCGTTTTCTGACCCATACCTGAGGGGGAGTAGGAACGAATTTTTCGAAAAAACTAAAAATCCGCCAAACAAATAGAAACTGAGTTAGATCTACTCAGTTTTTAATGCTAATTCAGAATATAGCATTATTTCTAATCCAAATCATCACTTTTCAACTGAAATCGGCTCCTTTCTGGTAGAAAAAAGCTCAAAATCCTGGCCCGTCTGTAGTGTGGTCAGGATCTCATTATCGGACCAATGATTTTTCTTGGATATTTTTATATCATTTTGAAGCTCTTCAAAAGTCCTATCAACTATATGAAAACTGGCGTGGCAGTCAATACCATTAATTCACAACGATGGGGATTTTCGTTAGTTATTATCGATTTTTCACTTATTTTATGAGTATGTGGTCCAATGTTCTCCATACCTAATGTTGCTGCTCAGTTTTTATTCCTGAACATTTTTATACCATTTTAAAGCCCTCAAAAACTGCTCTCGAACCATATGAAAAGAAGGCTGCTCGATCATGTATTGAGTGGATAAAGTGAGACGATTATCATGAAAAGCCAGGACTATTCTTAATGCAATGCCCACTGAGTAAGTTACTGTACCCGTTCATAGCAAAAACAAGCTCTATTTCATTAATTCTGTAATAGAACGTTTTAGGCCATCCAATGTGATGATTTCGCTAAGATAAAGTCGAATTTCTGAAGGGGGCAGATTTCATTGCTTATCGACCCCCCCCTCCTTTCTTTCATTTTATTTTTTTCTTCGTTATAAATGTTTGATAGAAATTTTCAGCTTGTTAATCTTCTTTTGAACATTTTGTTTGCATGATTCAATAGACATTCAATTGAATTCATGTTAAATTATTGAAGAAACAAATTTTGACGTTCATTTTTTTGTCGGAAAAAGGTTTTAGTGAAAAGTTATTACAATCATACGTGTAAAAAGATTCGTTTCCATATGAAGTCCTTCTGAAGTTATAACTATTTTACTGGCCTTTCAACCTCTGGTCAGATACTAACTGCAAAATTGAATGAAGAAATATGCACCGACAACCTTACTCATGAACTGCACTCATAGCCAGTAAACTACTCGAAAAGTTTCAGCCAAAATGGATAAGCTCTTCTAGAGATATTGAACAAGGGTAAAATATTAGTTTTTATAGAACGGCCAGAAAATCAAATCTTTTTCAACGTTCAAGACCTCTAGAGAAGATCATCCATTTTAGCTGAAACTTTTCGAACAGTTTGCTGACTTTACAACTTGCTTATAGATAAAGTTTCCGATGCATATTTCTTTATTCGGTTCGTCAGCTAATATCTGGCCAGAAGTCGAAAAACTAATAAAATAGCTGTATCTTCAGAAGGACTACGTATGGGGACGAATCCTCTGTAGTGTTCTTCTAGTCTCGACGAGCCTTACATACGAGTGAAGGATGCACTCGATTGGCGCTTCATACTTAGAGACTTTGCTTTGTTAGCGTATATATTTGTGGAACAATAAAAATTCTTCGCATCAACTATTGGATTGTTGTTTCTATATTTACCATGGATAAACTTTCATTTCATGTAGAATTAGTTTTTACATATCTTATAGTTGAAGAGAACTAAACTTCTATAGAATAGTATCAATAGATACCATAGGGTACGGAAGGTTTAAGTAATATCGATTAATTTGATATCTTAAAAAAGTATTTTGTAAATTTTTATTTTTATTTTTATTTTTTTATTAGAGCCTATACCGAAATTCTTCAACAACTTCATGTTGTAAATTATTTCAGTCAAGATTTTCAAGGACGTACTGATATTCTCGAACGTGTACGTAATTATGTTCAAGGTTCATCAAAACAGCCATTAGTTTTATGGGGTGAAGGTGGTTGTGGTAAATCAAGTGTGTTAGCAAAAATAGTATCAGAATCTAAATCATGGTTTTTATCAAAAAATTGTTCATTAATAAGACTTGTTCGATTTCTTGGTACAACACCTGATAGTTCATCAGTTTGTCCATTATTACGTAGTGTTTGTCAACAAATAAGTTTATTATATGAAGTATCAGATAATGCTATACCAGTCGAATTATCTCAATTAACAAATTATTTTAAACGTTTATTAGAAAAAGCAACAGCAGATAAACCATTATGTATTTTTTTTGATTCATTAGATCAATTATCATCAGCTGATGGTGCACATTCAATGTCTTGGTTACCACCAACTCTTCCAAATTATGTTAAACTTGTAAAAAAAAACAAAGAACAATTTCTTTTAAAATATTTCTAATAAAGAATTTCAATTTTTATAGATTGTTTCAACGTTACCAGGAATATATAGTATATTAAATACACTTCGAAATATAATTGATAGCCGAGAAAATTTTGTTCAAGTAAATATATGTTTAAGGATTTATTTTACTTTTATTTTTTATTAACCCTTTAACGTCCGGCGACGCATATATACGTCTAAACATTTCTTATAAAAATTTGGATTTTCGCCGAAAAAGCCAACAGTCAAAGGATTAAAAGACACACCGTTCGATAGAGCTTGACAAGTAGACATGGGTGATTCCGGATCGGAATCGGAATCGGCATCGACGATTCCGATTCCAATCCCAAAAAAAATCATACTGCCGATTCCGATTTTGATACGAAAAAAAAATCGGAATCGGAAATATTTATCTTTTAGTAATGGTGTAGGCGACTTCGGTTTCAAAAAATTCTACCCTGCCGATTCCGATACGATTTCGATTGGAAAAAAAGTTAACTTTGCCCATGTCTATTGATAAGATCTATCTGCCACGCTAGTCCTTAATCCTTTGACTCTCGGCTTTTTCTGCAAAAATCCAAACTTTTATTTAAAAAATGTTTGGACGCATATATGCGTCGCCGGGCGTTAAAGAGTTAATAATTATTGTTCTTTTTTTTTTCGAATTTAGGTAAAACCATTAGGTGAAGAGTTAGGTAAAACAGTATTAAAAGCTTGGTTAGCTCGTCATCATCGAACAATATCTAATGCACAATGGTTTGTATTTTATAATTTGTTTGTTTTTCTTGTTCTTTACACGTTTAAAAAGTTATTTAATAAAATAGGGAATTAGTTCATGAACGTCTTGCTGAATGTAGTACTCCGTTATATGTTAAATTAGTATTTGATGAAATAAAATTATGGAAATCATATACAAAAATACAAGAAAAAGATTTAGCTAAAACAGTATTAACATCAATAAATAAATTATTAGGACGAATTGAAAATCAACATGGACATATATTAGTTGCACATGCATTATCCTATATAACAGCATCAAAATCAGGTTTAAGTGAAGCTGAATTAGAAGATTTAATATCACTTGATGAAACTGTTTTAAATGATGTTTATCAATATCATTTACCACCTATTCGACGTATACCACCATTATTATGGACACGTATAAGAAATGATTTACCAAATTATTTAGTCGAACGTGAAGCAGAAGGTGTTAGTGTTGTTAGTTGGTATCATCGACAATTTGCTGAAGGTAATACTCATGTTTTTTTTGACAGACTTCCATTATGATCTTCTTATTTAGCTTGGAAATATACTAGCATCATAACAAAAAAGATCTTTTAATCTTCATTTAGAATTGGAAAAGAAACGAATCTAATTAATTGTAATACTATCTTTCATCTACCTCATACGTAATCCACCGATAATTTTCATGTGATATGATCGTGTGCATGATTTACTGTTTGTTGATTATTTCGAAAAAGAGAAATGAACAAATGTATAGACATTCTGAGAATCAATGTATGATTAGAACAAAAATTCCAATAAATTTTCCAAACGTACAATAACATCACGTACTACTAATTATTTTGGAAGGTTAACATTTTCGAATGAAAAATACCTGTAAATTCTCTACATCCAAACATTTACATTACGATTATTTTACTGCAAAAAAGAACAATCTTTAGCATCGATTATAAGATTTCAAAACGTCGGAAACATAAAGTCATAAAAGATGAATGTTTAATGGAATTGTGGCAACGTTATGATGAAGATCGTATTGATATTCCAGCGTTCTTAAAAGTTGCTAGATTGAGATATTTTCAACGTCCATCAAAACGTTAAATAGCCATCGATCTTTGTTTATATATCTATTGAAATACTTTTGCTTTTTTTTTGTTCTGACAAAACATTAATTGTCGCAGTATCTACTCACTTGTTCATTTCTCTTCTTCGAAATAATCAATGAACAGTAAATCAATGTAAGCCGATATGTATTGATATGTCGAACTAAGAGATATGGAACCAACTTTAGTTCTGGTCTCGCGACCGAAGCCACGAGAAAAAAGATTGTTCTGCCTAGAACGAAAGATTATATTTATGTTTTGAAGGACATTATGTTATAAATCATATCAGTCAGAGGTGACTTAAAAAAGTGCTAGTCATCGACTAAAATTAATCAAAAAAGTGAGTATTGAAGGATGTTTTTCTAAATGTGATACAAATAAATTCTGGAAACATTATCTCTAGGTCGGGATCGCAACTAGACCAGATTTATCGAGACTAATAGTACAATAAACCTAACGATTTGGGATTTGATATTGTTTGGTTTTGGTTTCAAATGACTTAAATATCAAAGAATTTGATAAGATGATAAGATGAAATCAATAACGATCTGTTTTACTAGAGGTGCGGCACAACTAGAAAAAGACTTTGGGATTTCGAACCAAATCCTTAGTATTTGGTCTTGAACAAAATAATATAAATAGTTTGCGTTTCGATAATGGTCATCAAAATGCAAACTATTTATGTAGATCTGATCCAAAAGCAAATCCATGTTCTAAATCCAAATCAAATCTCAAGGTTCTTGGTCTCACACATCTCTAGTAGGACTAACTTTTAACTTCGACTTCGCATTTATGTATATAACGGAATCGATTTTAATATAAAGTATAGTGTAGTGAACTAAAAGTAGACATTGACTTGAATTAACTTATTTCTATTTTGTTTTATTATTATTTTTTTCCAATACTTAGAAAGTCGTGACTTTATCGATATCTGCTTGAAATCTAATTCATATAAATATATATATTTTTTTCTTCATAGTTTCTCATGAACGTTATTTATCAAATCCAGATGAACGTCGAATATATCATTCTAATATGGCAGATTATTATCTCGGTATATGGGCTGGTCGTCCAAAACCTTTTCAATTTTCTGATCATCAAAAACGTATGTTTAATATATCATCAGCAGATGGTGAAGCTGATCGTAAAGTTCCAGCTCAACCACTTATATTTACAACAAATAATCCAGAAGGATCAGTTACAACAACACCAACTGTTCGTTATAATTTACGTAAATTAAGTGAATTACCATTTCAATTAATACATGCACAACGTGAAGATGATTTATATAAAAATGTTTTATTTAATTATGATTTTATTCATGCAAAATTATCATGTATGCCATTAAATTTATGTATATTCGATTATGAAAGTGCATTAGAATTTGTTTTTGATAAAGAAGTAAAATAAATAAAAAATGAATTGTGAATTTAAAAAATTCTTTTTTTTTTTTATTAATTTTATTTAGGTTAAATTAATGAGTGATGCACTTCGTTTATCAAGTTCAATGTTAGCTGCTGATCCAAATAATTTAGCATGTCAAATAATTGGTCGTCTACTTCCATTTTATACAACATGTCATAAAATAGCTTCATTTATTGATCAATGTGAAAGTACTGGTTTACAAGTCATGGGTCTTGTACCAGCTTGTAATACATTACCATCGCCTGGCGGTCCACTTGTTTATTCATTAGAAGCTCATCAATTTGCCGTTTATGGTCTTGAAGTTATCTCATCTGGACAATCTCTTCTTACTGTATCAAATAAATTTATTGTTTTTGATTTATCAAGTGGTGATATTGTACGTATTATTGATCCTAAAATAGAAGGTATTATGACATATTTAGCACTTGCACCTGATCAACGTTATTGTGTAACAACAATAAGTAATCAATATATTATATGTAATTTATTAACTGGAGATTTAATTTTACGTGATTATCAATCATCATCAGTAAATAATCAACAACAACAACAAACAGGTGGAAATACAACTAAAACTAATAATAAAACAAATAGTGGACAAATAACGGAATCTTTATTAGGTGCACATACAAGCAATACTCATTTTGTATTGTGGACGGCAAAAATGTATCAAGTGTATACAAATAAAGGTATCAGTCTTCGATATGAGTAAACTTTTTTAAAAATCTGATTCGAGTTAAATTTTAAAAGATATTGGAGAGCACCTAACCATGCTTTTTCTGAAAACATAACTTTTTGATTATGCTAGATTTGTTCAGAGGTCTTAATCATACTTTTAGCTATTGTTGACTTCTCTTTCCATTCAATTGTGAAAGATATGCATAGTTTACCACTGGTGTAATTGTAGATTGATCTCTGCAACTTAGATGAAGCAACATTTGAATAGCTTCTCAGTTATCAATAAAAACATTTTCGGTTCTAGCTTGGTTTCATTTTTTTTTGTACCGTCGAGCTCTAATAGAAGACAGTGATTTTCTCTCAATTTCGGTATTATTTTTGTGTCAATTTTGTCAAATTGAAGCGTTTTGAAATGATATTGGTTTTCTGAAAGATCATTGTCTCTAAGAACAAGATTAATTTTTTTCTTCAAGGTGAATTACTTACATTGCAACCAACACGTTTTCAAATTATACAAATTGAAGTATTAGAAGGACCACAAGTAGAAACTGTTTGTCGTACTGAAGATGTCAAAGATGATCAAGATGTAGTTCGTGATCGTCTATTAATAGATTACTGTTTTGTTTCAAATAATGATCATCAAACTGATATAAACAATAATAATAAGAATAATCCTTCACGTTGTTTAATTGGTGGTAGAAAAAATATTCATAGTGCACTTATATTAACACGTGATAAACGACGTATGTATACATGTTGTGAAATAAATGATAATAATGTTGAAATGTATGTTAATAAACCACATCCGATTCATTACGCTACTCAACGTATATGGGCATTTGATCATCAGTTATATGAAAATAAAGATCGGTAAATATTATTTCAAAGAATCTTTTTCTTGATAAAATATTTTCTCATAGATGTTCCCCTTTCTTTTAGCATATTTTCATTAATTTTAAGTGATGATGAAAATTATCTTATGGCAGTTATATTTAAAGGTTTTAGAATCTTTTCATTTCGATCATATTTATGGAAAACATGTTTATTACCTGGTAGTGTACGTAATATAATGAGTGGTGCTAAACGTTTAACATATACAGCAGCGTTTTCTCAAGATAATCGGTATGTTTTATATGATTTTGTTTTTTGTTTTTGTTGTTGTATCAATTATTTAATAAATTATTTTTCATTTAGTTATTGTATAGCATGTGTTAAATCAAGTGTTTATGTATTTGAAATAGAATGGGGTAATTTAGTAGCTTCATTTGATTTACATTTTGGTCGTATACTTGTTGTAAAATGTTTATCAACTGGTAGTGGTGGAAATAACTATGTTATAACAACTGGTATGGATAAAACAACAAAAGTATGGAATTTACAAAATGCAAAAGAAAAATCTATATCAATAACACAATTAGATAAATGTATTGAAATGATGTATATATCAACAGAAGCAGGATTAATAATGGCACAATCACGTACGCAATTATGTTTATTTGATTTGACAAATGGATCAATGATCGGACAATTATCTGCTAATCCACATGGATCAATTTATCAGTGTTAGAAATTCTTGTTTTTTTTTGTTTTTATTAAAAATATGATTTCTTTTTCTTTTATGTTATTTAGGTACAGTTTTATGTACAAATGGTTTATTTGCAGCATCAGCTGAATCAGGTAATTTTGTAATATATGATATTGATGAACGCAAAACATCATTTATAACACCATTAAAAAATATCTTTCAACTTCTTCTTCATACAGCTGAAACAATGGTAAGAAAAATATTTTTTAAAATAATTCTCTATATGAAAGAATATTTTCTTTTTATTTAGGTTTTAGTTTTAATTACTGAATCAACTCCAACACAAGTTTCAAATGCATCAAATAATGTACCAGTAAATACTAGTCCGAATGGTCAAGCTATTCAAGCTATTTCATATGGAATACCTGATGGTGAGATTATTTATGAAATAATATCAAATATGAAACGTTCAAATCAACCAAAAAAAGTTGCTTGTACAGCTGAGGATACATATCTTGTATTTATTGAAGAGAAAAAAAATAATGAAATACTTTCATTATATGATCCAATGACTGGTGAACATGTACATAATGTTAAATTAAATTATCCAGCTTATAAAGATATTATTTTAATGGTTACAATACCAAAACAACCTTATTTGATTGGTTTAATTGATTCTGAAAAAGGAATTGTTATGAATGTTAGAGATAAAAAGGTGAATATATAATTAAATTATTAATAACGAAGAATTTGTAGTCTTTTTACATTACTTGATGAAAATAGATTGTTAGCGTTTATTTTTACTTAAAAAGCTTGTTAGCGCAGCTTCCTTTGAGGCTGAAATATGGAACTCACAGGGGTTCTTTAGCCTCATTATACCAATACAAAATTCATAACGTGAAAAATCTCTTGCAGACTATAGCTACTTTCCAAGGTAATCGATCACCAGAGAAAGCAATCTGTCTTGTTTTCTATTTTTACTAGCATTCTATTATTTATTTGTCTTGTTGCTTTTCATTTTCGTATTTCGTTTTTCTTAATTTAACATTATTATCATTCTAATAATTGGTTTAACCGATAAATAAGTCTGCTGTATATATTTATTTTATCTATAGCAAGTCTCACTGAACTATTATATATCTTGATGAGCTCAGAAACGCTGATGTTGATTATTTTCTAAAGTTATAACTTGATTAATTCACAATTTTTTTATGTTGATCATATGACGACTGTAGCAAATCAATGCATCACTATCTATCGTCTTTGACATCTTAAATGTAAATTTTTTATCTGCGCAAAAATTAAAAAATGCACTATTTATTCTACAGTAGTCTAAGTCTTATCGTTAATACTGTTCAGCGCCTTTCTCCTCTGCTAAGGGGCTCTAGGAAAAGTGTTTGACGCCTGTTGTCCTCGATGGCTAAAGTTTGTGTTGAAGAGAGAGAACCACAAAACTTCGACTGAAAACTAACACTCAGTATTTTCTTCAAAAATATATGTGAGTTCCACAACACGAAAATATTATGATAAAAAACAAAAAAAAAATGAAATCAAACAGATAGAAGAATCATTCATAAAAATTTGAAATTTCGTTTTTAATCATATTGATCTTTTTTCAACAATCTGTATCATTAAACAGTACATATCATGTGCGTTAGTATTTCATCTTAAAATTATCCTTATTGGAAATAATCAAATCAAATTAATCAGAAAAAAATCCTTAGTGGGATAGATTATATAAATAATTGCAGAAAATATACTGTTCAAATGTTTACTTTTAGTCACGGGCACTAAACATATTTCAATAGGTTAACTAATTTAATACTTACAACGGTTCGTACACTAATTTTCATGGTACATTGATAGCAAAAGACTGAACAAAAACTTAAATTGAGTATATTCACCAGAGATAAGATATTCGTCTAAAATAAACTTATTTGTATATAAAGTTGAATATGATTGACTAATATTAATAAATTTTCGTTCTTTTCGGATGAGAATAGAAGAAAGTAATTATTGCAAATACATATATGAAACCTTGGTTTAAGGAAACTATTCTTTCTTTTTCGAATCCGAAAATTTCAGATTTTTTAGTTTTTGATCTTTTTCAATCATTAAATACCCTGAAGTTTGCTCTAATTTGTGAGCTTGTTTTGGAAATTGAAAATCGAGTTTTTCATGCTAAACAAATCTGAAAAATACGGGAAACTAATATGCTTTTCACTTTTCTTGAAATTAATATTTTCCATAGAAATTTCGAAGTTCCCCCCCCCCCCTCCCCCACATTTTTTTTCTTCTCTCACATACTACCACCGATAGGACTAAAACTTTTCCTACGACGCGTATTTTACTTTTCTTTGAAAAATATTGTATTGTTAAATTTCGGTAGATCTTGCAAAGAATTACATCAAGTCAAAAAAAGCATGATTTTTTCATAGGATTTCGAATACTTTGACACTTCTAAACGAGCAACATAAGACTTTTTGTGTTTAAAAAATTATAGAGTCCAGTTTGGTTCGTAGATGTTACAGAAAAAGCTTTTCAACTCTATCAACTCTAGTGGGATGATCAAGGTATTCTTGATCACCTTCAGAAAGAAAGGAAAGGTTTCATTAAATATAAAGAAAGAAATTTTGTTTATCGAAACAAAAATTATCTTTCATTTTTCCTTTTTCTTTTACTAGATTAATGAGTTAACATTTTTGTTTGTTTATAATTTTATTCTGAATAGGTTCATTTAACATTACCAAAATGGGGTGGTCAAATATCATCCGATGGTAAATATGGTTTATATGCTCCAACACGTGGTGGTCTTGAAATATTTGAATTTCGAAATGGAAAAGTAATTCGAACATTAATTGGCAAAATAGCTGAAGGTGTATTTGAAGTATTAGCATTTTTTACTCCAACAAATAATCATGTTATATATTATAATAAAGGTAAACGAACAATACGTGTATTTCGTACACAAGATGGTAAACAAATAGCTGATATGAAATGTCCAGCCAAAGTTCGACAAGCACTTGGAACACATGATGGACGAGCATTAATTGTTGGATATGAAGATGGAGCTATACAAATGTTTTTAATTGTTGATCATTTCGATGAAACAACTGTTGATTATTTAAAACGTTGGAGAAAACATCAATTTCATGCAAAATTAGAAGCTATACGACAAGAGACTGTTGAAAAACAATCTGAATTACAATGACATAAAATATTTGCCGAAATTTTTATAATATAACGGATGAGTCGAAAGTTTTCATTTTTTATTTTTTGACAAAATATTCCTTGATTTTTTGACCGATTAAAAAGACTAGAAGACTTTTGTACTCTTTTCACATTGAAGATCAGAATTTTTTTAGAATTCATAGGTTAAAGGAAGAATTGAGTCTCGTTACTATCCTCCAGAAATGACTACGTTCATTTTAGAAGTCGAGAAACCAAAGAATTATGAAAACATCATTAAGTCTCTTGCCAATACTTTCATTGCTGATAGATGCCTTACAAAAAAAACTCATAATCATAGAGAAAGGCTTGCTCTTTCTATTGATGTATTTGGAACATATATTACTTTAACTCTGGAAGATTTATTATACACTGCAAACGTGTCCAAAATTTTATTTTCGAATCTTTCAACGAGTCTCTCATAGCTTCCAATCTATGAGTCTCAAAAGGATTCGCAAAGGACAGAAAATTCTTATTCTAATCAGATGATTTCAAAATCTTGTTAAATCTTTTCATCAGTTGAAAAATGAAGGAATATTTTGTCTAAAAACCTTTGATCCATCCATTACATCATATTTTTATCTCTCTATTGTATCGATCGTTTCTGGTGTATGTTAACATATTTAATGGAAATGTTATGTTTGTTTCTATCGATAATAATTTCACATGACATATGAAAGAAAAGAATGTTTGAAATTTTTCTATTCAGTACAGCTAACACCGGATATAACAGTGTTTCATTAACAGTAACGGAATACACATTTTTAATGATTTAAAAATGATTTGTTTTCTTTTTGTAAAAGGAAAATATTAAAAAATATCTAAATGTCTATGTTTAAATACATTCAAAATCTACTATATGTCTGTACATGGGCAAACTTAGTGACAATGATACATAATCATCTTCGATTTGACTTTAATCTTTTATAAAAGTTACTTTTATTTGATCAAGTTCTTTTTTCATGCATATATGTTTAAATATTGACTGTTTCAGTTCACATTTTATTTAACTAAAGTGCTTTTTTCGTAGAATTCAAGTGCTTTTCAGTAGTCATCCATATTTCTACTGATTTCACCGATGTTATTGTACATAGGAGCCAGTGAAAGATGATCTTTCGGGATAGTTTTTCGCTTGATTTGGACGTATTGTTTGAAAAATGAAACTGCTTCTTTGTATTGTCTTTGTTGGTATTTCACCTCTTCAAGTTGGTGATAGAGATGTGCTTCAGTACTATCGTCAAATATCTGTCCTAATGGTGCCGTATACAAGTCTTTAGCATTGTCAAATTGACCTATTGTGAGTAGCAATTTATCTAATTGTGTCCATACTGTTGAACCTGCAGCCTCTTGTCATATGAGATCGGTTAATCGAAGGAGTTGTTCATCATGATCTGAGATAAGCTTAAGGTCTACTTAATAAATTGAACGATTCTTGTCAAGTTTTCGAATTTCACCGATTTGAAAAACGGTATGCATGAAGAACAGGATTTCATCTTCTGTCTTGTGATAACTCAACTTCTGGATGGAGGCGAACGGAGTCGATGAGGCTTTTAAATCTATTTTCATTTGAAAAAGGATACCGACCATACAGGTTATTTCCAAGGTATCTTTGGCGAAACCAAGGGAAACATCTCGCTTAGTACTGATGGATTAAAAATTATTGAAGGATATAAGTCCACCTTTGCTTTTCGCCAGTTTGTCGAAGTCGGCTTTGGATAATCCCTGGCCTCGATAGACTACAAACAGTTTCCCTTTATAGAGACAGACTTATTCCTTGTGTAATATTTCGATTTGTCGATGCATATCACGAAGAAAAAAGTCCATTCTAATAATAATGTCGCCGTTGAGTATTCTTAATGCTCCATTGAGCATTTTGTACATGAATCATTCACTTATATACCACCAAATGTCCTTTTATGATTGATAAGTACTAGCGAATTCATTAATAATTTTCAATTCTTTGTTGTTGCCGTGGTATTCGTTCAGACAAAATGTAGTCAAATCCTTGATGGCTTGTCGGTCATGTATCATATCACAGAGGATTTCCTTAAATATTTGAGAATACATGAAGGTCAATTCCAGTTGATTGAGATTTTCATTGGCAACTTCTTCATTCACATCAATAATGCTGACCGACATGTTATTTTGATTGCATTGATTGACCACCCTTAGCAATACTTCGCAAATTGGCTTCATTGATTATGTACACTGTTGATTTTTGCTCAATTTTTGGTTCATACTATCGACTCAAGTTGTTCGCATCTAACAAGATGTACCTAATATTATCCAAGACGTTTGAAAAAATAGAGAAGTATTATTCAATCTGCTGATTAGACGCTGAAAAAGAAGATTATGTGAAGCTAATATCATAGTATGTGTACTAATACAGACTAATATTCGTTTGTGAACTTTTAGTTTTATATTGAAATATATGAACAGTGCGATAGAGTACAGAAAAAAAACAAAGAAATATAATATATCAGCGAATTATCCTAAAACGCCAATGTTTATTAATTTGAAGTAAATTTCAGATACTGTAGTTATACGACATATATTCTTCATAACAGTCTTATATCGTATTATAATAAAAGTTGCTTATCATTGCAATTTTTGTTTTTACTTATCTAATTTGTTTTATATTTTATGCTGTCAATCAATTTATTTGGTAATTAAGTATTTTACTTGTGTATTATTGATCATATATAATAAAAACCAATTTCATTAATTGAGCATATGATAATTTTATTAAATATTCACATTATTTACTGAGCAGATATAAATTTTATTTGACAAAAAACAGCTTCCCAAGCATTAAAATAATTTTATCTAATAAAAATTATGGTTTCTCTTCTTTATTAACATTCGATCTAACGTGTAAAAGACAATGCCTAACTGGAGTAATTTTCTCATATTTTGTTCCGCTTTTAATGCAAGGGAGGAACAGCGTGCTTCAGGTGGAAAAATACGTTAAAGTACAAAATTAGTTCAGAGTATGTAGAAATAATTCCAAGTACATTGAAATAATTTAAAATACTTGTTGATTTCAAGTATGCTGTTTCCTACTAGAATTCTCCATATTTTTCCTTTATAAAAATTATTAGAATAGTTATATAATAACATACGTTGCAAAAGAGATGAAAAAAATTGTCTAACTCTATTGAACCATATTGTCGATTTGTAAAGTAATCAATTATGTTTTTATTGGAAAGTGTAATGCCTGAAGTACAAATTTTGTACCAGACATACTTTTCTGGAATGAGTTTCAGGAGGAAAAGTCAAAAACTAAACTCCTTCAAAAAAGCTCTTGTAATTTCATCATTGAGCAACATTAGTTCCATTTCGATTATTTTTTTTAAATCAGAAGAGTATGGAAAAAATATGTTTAATGATAATTTTTGCAGCATAAAGAATGTTTTTTTCCAATAATCTCATTGAAAGTTATATTTACTCTCGCTTTTTATACTAAAATGTTGTTTTTGTGAAAAAGATGGAGTAATATTGTCTTTCATACTACCGGTCAGTATGCTCTTCGACGAAATTCGGTGATTTCCGTTTTGACGATCTTCATTTCAATGATTGAAGCTGTCGGCGATATTCTGAGATGATACCTGCAGTGTTAAAAGCGTTCTAATATTATGTCTATTGATACGAATTGTACTAAGTATTTATAGTGATGTGCCAAGTTAAGTTAGCAACTAACGAGCGAACTTCTTTGAATGTATCCTTGCGATTTCAATGTTTTTTTGTCTATATATACTATATAATGTTCTAATAAAAACCCTAAAAGAACTTGAGTTCCTATTGATATTTGATTAAGTTATCGAATTTTTTCTAGAGGCTCTAGATCTTTCGAAAAACTCGTATTTACGAATTTTGATCTAAAACTTTGTCCACATAGAGAACAACTCAACTAGAATACGAAACTTTCAAGATGTGGACCGTTTTCAGTGGATAGTGTATGCAACATGCATTTTTGAAAGCTTCATATTTCAAAGAGACTTACTTGAAAACTTCTGAATTTTTCTAAGGATGTTAGCCTAGCTAAGTTCTTTATATGCGTGAAGTTTCAGATCAAAATTTGAAAATACGAGTTTTCCGAAAATCGAAGCTCCTACAGGGACTTCTAATTAATATTTCAATAAAACTGAGACAATAGAGTTTTTTATAAACTACATTTTTGTGTAATTTTTAATAAAATTTGATTCACATAGCTCAAAATAATTGAAAAATACCGACTTTCCAAGTTGCAAGAGATGTTTGATATTTGACTTTTCTTCCTCCCTGAATTCCTTCTGAAAAAATATGTATAGTACGAAACTTGTTACTCGGACATTGCTTATTTCAATCGAAAACAGAATGTGATTGCTTTAGAAGTCAGTTCTACTTTTTGCAATTCATATTACTATAATCATAATATCTAGAATATGTGATTGTGATGATATTTACAAAAGACTCTGAAGTAGTTTGGAGAAACTGGAAATATTTTTACACAGCTTAAAGTCTCTTAAAATAGTTTAAATTAGCTTCAATTACAAAAGTACCTCGTTTTCTCTTCTAGCTTATTTGTCAAGTCAAATGGTATTTTCAGTAGAAATTAAAAATTCCAGAGAAAGAATGAACTACATTAAAAAAAAGAAAAGAAACAATCATCTAATGGTACTTAATAAATAATTTAGTTCCTCGTCATACTTCAATATAAAAGTTATTACATTTTGTTTTGTTTGTGTGTAAGTATTTTAAAACACTCGAATATTACAAGTAGATATGAACGAGTGCGCGATACCATTTTTTTAGTTAAGTAATAAACGTTTAAATGTATTCATTTCGTCTCGTTCGCCTGGTCTCTCCAGTAGACAGTTCCATGATAAAACCTTTTTTTTTCCTCTTGAAATTAATTTTTTCAATCGGATGCTATCTATTAAGTTTTCAATATTAACTCGTCAGACAGTACTTGTTAAATGCGCGTTAATTAAGTATATACACTTTCTTATTGAGAAAAAATTTATTGAAAAACAAAATTTAACAAAAATTCAACTATTTTTTTGTCATTATCTTCCGTTCACAGATCAGTGTGCTCATACTTTGATAGTTATGTAACAAGCTGCCTGACATTTTAATAATTATTCACTCTCGATGAAGCGGAATTTCACCATCTGATTTTTGACAATTTGTCCTATTTCCGTAGGACTTTTTACAATAAAAAGCTTGTCAAATCTGCGGCGGAAACAAATTATCGAAATTATAGACTTTCACTGGTATTCTCGCGTCATTCCATTGTAGCTCATCGGTAAATCAGAATTTCGACACTCTTTTTTTTTTAATGTAGAGACTCTGATAGACATTGGATAAATTGTCGAAATTCAGGTAGTAAAATTCCATAGAATCTTCACTCTCATCCAACAGACATGACATATGAGTGAATTGCAACATTATTCTACCAATTAGAGAAAGAAAAACAATTTTCGACTTAAAAGATGATAACTTAAATAGCCGTCAAAATACGAGAATTTTTCAAGACTAGTTTAGAATACTTGAAATTATAGATAGAAAGCACTTTGTTTACATGCCACAATATACAACTGAGATTCAAATTTTCATTAATCTCAATAACATGAATCGAATAATTTTTCATGTCCCTATATTCATGATGTGACGTCATCTGCATCACAAATAGCTTTCATAAGACACGATTTAGAATAAATTAGTAGTAAATTTGATAGTACCTAGGATAAGAATTGAACTAATATGTCATATATATTTATTTTGATATTAATTGTGAAGTAGTATACACGTTATAATCTTGCATGACACATTGACACTATTTTTTTTCTTATGTATCAGAAGTTTTCTGTTGATGATATTTTTAGTGGTGGTTTTGCCTACAATAGTTTAATAAATGATCACAGTGTCATTTCTACAGGAGAGTTATAAGGTCAAGAAAAATATTTAAAAAATTCACGCATGAAATTTAGTTATGTCAATCAAATTTTCAAGTGTTGTTTCATAAACAAGAAACAATACAATTCTCTCCTCTTTTTTTCAACGGTTTATCTTCCACTCGATGTTTTTCATTCAATAACATCCTGACCGATTTTTTTTTGATGGCCTGTTTAATCGCAAGATTATTTTTTATCTCGCGTGACAGAAAATCAAACAGTAACCGTACATCTCTTATTCAAAAATATTTATAAGAAAGATGATGATAAAAAAATACTAGACAGTCTTATATTCGAAAAGTACTCATAGTTTGTTCTATTTCCGTTACCTCCCACAATTTAAGCGAGAAAAGAAGAAATTGTTTATATAACATGCTTTAATAGCAGATGGCACCTATCTGTTTAAGTATCCTAAGATTTGTCTAACATAAATCCCCGATTCTTTTGCGTGGTAGCGAGAACTTATTAGAGGATTCCAACCGTAATATATATATATATATATATATTGGATGAATTAGGATTACTTTAGTATGAATAGAATGCGTGGAAAAGTTAGGAAAGCAATTAATACACTTTGTAGTGCAGCTGCGGCATTCATAAAAATAGAAATGTCTCTAGATAAAAAAAAGTTATATATATATATATAGATTTAATTTACGCTTAGAGCCATCTGTCAAATGTATATACTAGAAATAAATCATTAATTAAATTATTCATGGTTCGTGAAATTTGAAAATCGATTGAATAGAATTCATTTTGGATGGTAGTGCCATCTTTCGTTATTTTTAATTTGTTTTAAATTAACTACGAATCATCGTTTAAGTCCTTCAAATATCTGATCTGTAAATAAACACCATCTAAATAAACGAGAGATCTGATCAATTTTTTGTTTTCATTAAAAAATGTTCTATTGAATTAATTCATTCATTTTTCTGCATGTCGAATATTTCATAAAGCATAATATAAACAAAAGATTAAAATGACAGAAGATAATTCAAATGGTCATTTTAGTCCACGATATAAAGCTCAATCAACATCTCAACTTTTATTACCAGATTCAATTAGTACGAAATCTATTTCATCAACATCATCAGCATCATCTCTTGCTATGTCAAATAGTCCAAAAAATAATTTATCATCATTTTTAAAAATGTCATTATCAAATCGTAAGACAGCTATAACACGACCAACAGAAGATCGTTTTATTATGACAATTATAAAAAGTCCATCAGTTAATTCTCAACGTGCATCATCAAATTCTTCAAGTGAATTTTTTACAGCACCATCAACATTAACAACAATGACAACGAATGATGATTTACAAAATAATAGTAAATTTCTTAAAAATAAAGTTACAGCAGCATTCAATCATATGAAATATCGTAAGTTAAAAGATCTTTTATCTTAAAAATTTTTTCTTTTCTGCTTTATAATTTAATTCATTTTATTTTTTGTTTCCTAAGGTTGGGTTGTAAGAATGCGACCAAATTTTCGTACAAATGAATCACCAATTTATTTTCTTGGAAAGATGTATAATGGAAAAGAAGGTATATAAAACAAAAATATTAAGATATCTTTATAACAAAAAAAAAAAAGAAGATTCTTCTCAATAAGATTTATAGACTTCATCTTATAAAAATCTAATTGTATCTCAAATATAAAATTCAAAATTTGAAAATGAAGTATTTGTTTAACATATTTCACGTTACACGTTTGTTTGCATTACTGCTGATGTATCGTAGTAGAATGGCAGTCAGAAGATAACCGATCGTTTAAGTATCAAACTATCTTCGGTTAACTATCGATATACTAGCAGTTTTTATTATAAAAGATTTTTATTAATTAACTTAAAATTAAAATATTGCAAAAAGATTTATATTCATCTTCTATTTTTATCGGATTATATAAGTAAAATCTCTTTCAATATTCTATCAGAGATAAAATATTAATCTATTAACATGAATAAGTTATTCATAGAATTTCTTTATGAATATTTTTAATCTCATAAAATCTTGTTCTAACGAGAGAAATCTTTCAACTGATAAATTGCTTTTGAGTCGAGACTATTGATGTCATATAGATCCTAATGAGCCAATGAATACCCTGAAAAGAGTTCGTGCCCTTAGCTTATTGTTGCCGAGATAATGCATATTTACAGTATTTGTTTTTTAAATAATTGCCGTAATCTCCCTCAGGAAAACTAATTTTCGAATTTCGACTTGAAAATTTGCATAGAGACAGACCTTCATGAAAGTAGTTTATTGTAAAAATTTCAGGTCTTTTACTTTGCTTCTATTCTGAAATAAAAACATCAAATCTGCTAGTGTATATGAGCAATGTTAAAGATACGCTATTACTATAATTGCATTTTAGAATAAGAACAGTGACAAAGTTTGAAACATTCACAATATAAACTATTCTCATTAAGATCTATTTCTGTACAAAAAGCTTTCATGAAGAGGATTGCAGTATTTATTTAAGAAATACTACAAAAGTGCAGTAACTTTGCAACAATATGCTAATAGTATGAATTGTTTTCAGAACATTCATAGCTCAGTATAATACACATAGTCTCGAAGGAATTTATTAGTTGGTAGACTTCCTTCTTAAGTTTAAAATCTTTAATAATTAATTGAATAAAATAAAAAATAATTTTATTTTAGAAACAACATCTGATGATATACCTCGTCCATATAGTGAACAATCATATTCAAATTTTTTAAAATCATTTTCCGAACGAATTTATTTTTCATATCGAAAACAATTTGAACCATTAAATGGTTTAAGACGCAATGGAGATTTAATAACATCTGATTGTGGTTGGGGTTGTATGATACGTTGTGCTCAAATGTTACTTGCTCAAACGTTACTTAATCATATGACGAATAAAATTAATTTACCTTATTCAAATATTAAAATATCAGAAAAATGTATTTTACAAAAAAAAAGTTTTTTTATTTTTTTTTACTTAATTTATTTTTTCAAGGTCCAAAACGAAATTCTCTTGAATATTGTCGAAATACTAATCGAACTAATCGACGTACACATATTTATACTGATATTATTCGTTTATTTGGAGATTATCCAAATGTTAAATGTCCGTTTGGAATTCATAAGTAAGAATTTATTATCCAAAAAAAAAAAACAAACAAAGAAAAATTTCAAATTTTTAATTAAGAATTGTTGAAATTGGTACAACACTTGGTATTCATCCAGGTGATTTTTTTGGACCAGTAAGTGCTGCACATTGTTTAAAACAAGCTCTTCAAACTGCTGTTGAATTAAATCAAATGCCAGATACACTTCGAATTTATATTAGTCAAGATGCAATTAGTAAGATTTTTATATACAAAAAAAAAAAATTTTTGTTTTTGTTTTTTTTTTGTATTATTTTCTATTTAGTTTATCGACAAGATGTTGTTAATCTATGTACAGCTCCATCAAATTTAATTAAAAAAAAACTTAATCAATCAATTGAACCAATAATGAATAATAATGAAAATAATCCTGCAATATGGTTAACATCATTACTTATACTTGTACCATTAAGATTAGGTTTAAATGAACTTGATTTAATATATGAACCTTATTTAAAAGAAGCACTTAAATTAACTCAAACAGTTGGAATTATTGGTGGTAGTCCTCGACATGCTGTTTATATAGTTGCTTTTCAAGATGAAAGTTTTATTGATTTTGATCCACATTTTAGTCAAGCAACTGTTAATGTATTAGAAGATATATTTGATTTATCTGTAAGTATACAAAAATAAAATGTTCTTTTTTTTGTTATTCAAATATTTGAACATTTTTGTTTTTCTTTGTTTATTTTGCTTTTAGAGTTATTCATGTTCATCACCTAAAAAATTAACGGCAAAAAAATTGGATCCTAGTTGTACATTAGGATTTTATTGTAGAGATAAAGCTGATTTTGAAATGTTTTGTGCACAGGTAAAGTCTAATCGAAAGATAATTAATTAATAGTTATTCAAATTTTGTTCTTTAATAAATATTGTTTTTTTGCGAATTCATACTGACAATGAGATAAAGGAGAAATACAAAATAGTTTATCTCATTTAACAATATTCCCGCTTTGTTGTTTCCCTATAACATGTTTAATATTACATTAAAAAGAAATTTAAATAGAAAAACTGATTTATAACATTCGCATATCATGTCCGAATACATTTTCATTATGTTGTTGAAAGCTTCTCATTGGATTTTTTAAGTAAAATATTTTATGCATGGAAAAGTAAACCTGATGATGATAAAAATTTTCATATGAATAAATCATCATATTCTATATTGAGATCGTGACAGGTATTACCACAAAAACAACCATCTAAACGTGTCATGATACATTAAGATGATGAGTTTTTCTTGTTTTTATTCATCAAAAGAACAAAAACAACAAGAAAAAAACATCATGTTGACGTACAGAATTAATCATCATATGTCACATTGTAATTCTACAGAGATTCCACTGGCAATATTTTCATAATGAAATCAATAGTCAGTTGAGGAGTTATCCTTTTGTTTTTTTGTTATGAATTGCAAATGAACAGTCATAGTGGATTGATGAATAAATATTAAAAGGAAAACAAAAAAAAAGACGATAAACAATTTTTCATATTAAATAACAAATATAGATTTTATTTAAAAATTTTTTGTTTTTGTTTTTAGTGGAATCATATATGTCACATGGCAACTGATGATCGACGTACATGTCCAATATTTCGTATTGAACGTGGAACATTTCAAGAAAGTCATACACGTATATTTAATTTTGATTATCCATCATTAAATAATGAAGAAAATACTATTCTTCGTGTAACTAAATTACCATCATCAGAAAGTAGTTCATTATTATCATCAACTAATCATAAACAATCAAATAAAAATCTTAATTTATCAATAATACAATATTGTGATACATATAATGATGTTGATCAAATATCAAATGAAACGAAAACAAAAACAAATCGTATAAGAAAGCATTCTCTATCTGACGATTATGTTTTTTTATAATCTATTTAAAGATTTTATCTTTTTTTTTTCTTTTGCCAATAATTCTAGTCAACATTTTTTTTTTTGGGTGGCAAATATTTTTCTGTTTTTTTCCGAGACTGAAAGCCATATATATATTAATCATTTAAATATCTATGTTTTCCTTTTTGTTTGTTTTCGTTGGTGAGTTGATGCTGTGTGATATATATGCATTAATCTGTCCGATTTCTATTTATTAAAAATATGTATATTAACGTTATTTATTTATTTTGTTTTTTGTTTCATTTTAGATGATTTCAACATTGATTATTGTTTGGTAAGTATTCCTTTCTTTTTTGTTTTTAGTTAAATGAACAGTTATTTTCTCTTTCTTGTGTTATTTAGTACTTTACTGGTTAATGCTGGAGCAATAATTAATATTAATTTGTTTGTTGAATGAAAGAAATTCTATTTATGAATTATTTATTGATTCTTTTTTTTCCCTAGAAAACGAAGAGAAGTTGGTTTTATTGTTGATAATCCATCGATTGGTAAGATATATAGTTGAGTTAAAGTAAAATTTTTATTTTTCGATGAAATAATCATCGAATAATTATATGATATTATTCATATAAAGGAAAAAAAAACATAAAGTGTAACACACAAATGTAATGACATAAATGTCGGCCTTTAGATTTCTCTTCAATAAGACAGGTGCTGAAAGAAAAATCTTTCTTTTTTATCAGAAGATAAAGAATTTTTTCTTCTTTCGAGCAGTGTATATAATTTATTTTAATGATACGTCTATAAATAAAATGACACAATAGAAAAGAGTAGTACCTTCAACATCAGTTTACACTTTTCATATCCTATATCACACGTTTGTTTGTACTATTGCCAGTATATTCCAGTACTCGTAAGTATCAGCGATAGCACTTACGACTTCCAGTTCCAGCTATAAACGATTGCATAGAATGTTTTCTACCCAAATTCGAATTATTTATCAGAAAGAATTTAAATTAATCGAAAAAAAAACAACGCCTATTATATGACTTGATTTTGTTATACATTCAGAGTTCTCTTGAGATCATCAGGATTATGGGAGAGTGACAATGGCTCAGGAGATCGATTAGAAGATTTTTGCTAAAAGTGATCGGATTTGAAGAGGAAGCCGAACGGTTTTTTGAGAATTGGTTAGCAAAAAAATGAATAAAAAGCTGAAACTTCGTTGGAAAAAATTTCTTAAGATTGGAGGCCTTCGACTCCCTCGCTTAGGATATCCCTGTACACATTCGTAAACAAAATATAACGAGAAACACTTGCTCAACAAATCCGCATCCTTTTTTTTGTATTGATTTATCAAATAAATCTTCCAAAACAAAATTTAGTTATTTTATAAAAACAAATCATTCCAAGAAGAACAATCCATAACATATATTGAATAAATATTTTTACTAAGGGCTGATTATCGAGTAAAACTTTCCGATCAAAAAATTAAAATAATCAGTAAGATCAATTAATAATCATTATATCATTAATCATCGTCAATTAACCAAGCGTTTCAACCTTAACCAATCAATCAAAAGTCGTAATCTACGGAAAACAAAAAAAAAACCATCACTTATTTTTAAGCAATGTTGAAACACTTCAAAAATGAATCATAAAGCTCAAGCAAAAAAGAGCTAAGAGAAAAAGAACGGTGAAAAGTTATATAAACCGATTCCTCATGATTGTAATGTTATTTTAGATGATGAAAAATGTCTAACAGTAAGTGGAAATTATGATGTAGCAAATCAATCTTATTACTTTATTGATTCATATACTTATGTAATATCCTTTGATATACGTGATGTTAGCTTAACAACACATTCCAGTTGATTTACAAGATTTATTTGATACATGTCTAGCGAGTGTTTCTCTTTCTTTGTATTTCATCTTGTTCATATGAATATCTAGCAAAGTAATATCATATAGAATTCTGAAGAGGCTAAAATTTTTTATTAACTAATAATTAAAAAAAAAAAATTCTTTCATTATGTGTTTACTTAAGAGAAATAGACATCGATATTTTGTTCTGTTCATCTGAATTATGTGAGAAGTTTGGACTCATTTTGAGGGTACTACAACTTCTCTCTCTCTCTCTCTCTCTCTTTTCTGTTGTGTTATTACATTTATAATTGTACGATAGAAACAGTTTATAGACGAATCGAAAGAGAAAAAAAATTCTCTATCTTCCTTTTGTTTTTAGAAGAAAAACACAAGTTTTCTTTCAGCATCTTTCAATTGATAAGAACTAAGGATCGACATTTTTGCAGTATACGTTATTTTTCAAACAGTCATTTCAATCTGTCATATTCAAGAGTAATTTCCAGGAGATGAAATATTTTCTATAAATGTAGTAAAATTAAATAATTTAGAGAAGAAAGAAAATAGAATATTCATTGTAGGAGACAAAATACGTGAATTTCTGGGTAGTCTTCAATATTTTCGAATATTTATTGGTCTTTGGAATATTTTAATTATGTTTGCTATGTTTACGTAAGTGTATTTATTACTTATCAATTTTTATGACATAAACTATTATTGGTTTTTTTTCAAGTGTATTTGGTTATTGATTTATCATGGTCATATATTCAATCGATGTTTGTGGCAAAACTGTTTTACTCATTAATGTTAAATATGGATTCTCTTCTTTTTTTTTCTTTTCTTTGTTTCAAATAAAATGATTTTTTTTTGTTCATTTCTTTGTTTACTTTTTCATAATCGACATTTTTTTTCCATCTATATTTTAGAGAATAGTAACAAATTTAATGACATGACTATGCCATTTTGTTCATTTTATTATATCAATATGGTTTTGTTTTTCTTTATGTCTTTTTATTTCATGAAGTCAACGTCTTTTCACTCTTTAATTGCCTCTTGTCTCTTTCGTTAATATGTAACTTTGCTTCCTACTCAATGAGAAACTTTTCACGTATTATTAGTTCAATATATATATATATTCAAGCAATAACTGTGTACTTTTCGTTTAAGTACAAAAGAGAGCAAAATGGTTCCCTTTTTTTTCTTTCTTTCTTTAATAAATGTGCATTTTATGCATATGCTTCTCTTTCTCTTTCTCTTCATTCCTAAGCTTATGTATATAACCTCGAAACACCATCGTTACTATCGACAGAATGGATGACTGATTGTATTAGTAACTAACAAATAGAGATAATGATGATGAACATTTCTATCATATATTTGTTGTTAATATCAACTAAACAAAAGCTTAGATCTTTTTTTTGTTTTGTTTTTAGATTAACTATCGGATGTGTGTTGATGTCACCACAAACATCACAAAGACAAATGGTGACCGCACCATCATCACATTTGTCAGATGTAGAAATAAAATCAAAAAATACTCAAATTCATCATCATCGTCGTCGTCAAAAAATATGCACTACTCAACGCCTTCCAGCATTCTTTGCTTGGCTTCTTTTATTGAGTACTTCATTTGCTTATTGGATATGTATTTTTCCAGAAATTCTTATTCTTCTACCAAAACTTTTACCTATTCCAATTTTACATTGTATTTTATTTGTTCTTGTATGTGCAAATTTTATTCTTGCAACATTTATGGATCCAGTAAATTATTTCGATTTATTTTTTAATTTAGAAAAAAAAAATAAAATGTAAACATATCTTATTATTTTTTAGGGTATCTACGAACAATCATTAAAAAATGAATATTCTAATGTTAGTTTGTATACTCGTCCATCTAAACGGAAAGATGGTATTGAAATCAATGATGATGACGATGATGATACAGATGAACCACAATCTCGTCTTATTCGTATTAAAGATGGTAAATTTTTTTTCTTTATCATAAATTTATACTTAAAATGAAATTCGATTTAGGATCAGTCTATACAAAATATTGTCGTACATGTAAATTATTTCGTCCACCACGATGCTCACATTGTTCTATTTGTGAACGATGTATCGATGTAAGTTTAATTATTTTATTCTAGATATACTTCAATAAAGAAGAAAAGAAAGATATAACTTATGAGAGAACCTCTCCAAATGTCAAATTGGTTTTCGATCGAGACAATATTTATTTGACGAAGACTAATGAATAATAGAAAAGTCTACAATGGTTTGATTATCCAGGGCTTAGTTGTTGAGATATCAAAAAATCAAACTATTTTTGGCTTTTCTGTTACTCATTTGTACTCATCAAATCAACATCATCTCGATCAAAAAGCGATTTGACACCTGGAGATGTTCTCTTTTATAATGTATGATAAGATAAATTAATATTTACGAGAGAGTATATCCAACTGTCGGAAGCCGTTCGACTTCATATTACGGACACTAATAGGTCTCCGTGAGACTAGAAAGAAGGATTCAGGTATATGATCTATTGATGAAGAGTTATGATTGTTATAATGAATGTTTTTATTAAAAGCAAGATATAATAAAAAAATCCAGTGTTTTACCACAGGACATAGTAATCGAGTATGCTTGAAAATTGAATATTTCGAGAAGAACATGTGTATTTTTGTCGAAACGATCAGAACTATGAAATCGACCTATAGACAAAACTTCAGCTCGAAATTTTTTGTTTAGAAATTTTTTTGGAAATATTTTGCTCTTAATAAAAATGTCATTAAAACAGTAATAACTCTTCATCAGAATGTTATAGGTATAATCTCATTGAGATCTACTCGTAGCTATAAAATAAAATCGAATGGACATTTGACAATTGGATACATTCTCTTATTAATTTAATGGAATAAACTTTTACAAAACAAAAAAAAAATTTTTTTTTTCTTTCAGACATTCGATCATCATTGTCCTTGGTTAAATAATTGTGTTGGTATGTTACTTCAAAAAAACTTCAATCAAATTTTTATTTTATTTTGAAATTTTCTTTCTATTGAATCTAGGTCGTCGTAATTATCGTTATTTTTTTCAATTTTTATTTCTACTCTGTATTCATATGATATTATTATTTACATTTTGTCTTTATTATGTTCTTCATGATCGTCATCATAGAATAGTTACACCAAATTTTCTTTTAATACCATCAAATTCACATTTATCAAAAAGACAAAATGATTATTCACCATCATCATCATCAGTATATTTAAATAAAACAACATTTATTGGTTTTTCGGATTATCGTTTTATTATTTGTATTATTTTACTTCTTCTTCTTGGTCTTATGTCAATACCTATAGGTGGTTTAACAGGTTTTCATATATATCTTATATGTCAAGGTCGTACAACAAATGAACAAGTTACTGGAAAATATCGTATTCAAAATGATGTATTTAATAGAGGTTGCTGGAAAAATTGTTGTTTTGCAATATGTCAACCATTATATCCACAATTAAAAACACCGAAAAAAAAACGTTATAATGTTAATTTATTTGAAGAAATGGCATATGGAAAAATGAATTATGAATTAATAAATAATGAACATGATGAAAAAAGAAAATTTCATTATGAAGAAATAAACAAATTAAATATGAAAACAAATATTTATAGCAATCCAATTGATGAAAAAGGTTACAAAGTTTCTTTGCTTCTTTTTTTTTCGAATAGAATTATTTATTTTAAAAAAAAAGAATGTAGTCTTTGGCTGTTGCAATACTGTTAATTAGAAAGTAATTGTTGGATACGAGTTATAATTTTCAACAATTGAAAAATCTGTTAATAGTTTCGATATGCAATTGATTAAGTAGTATTTTATAAAGAATATCAAATGCTTACCCCTTTGATGATGGAATTTTTTTTCAAAAAATCCTGAAATGAGGCGTATATGTCAAGAAAAAAAGCGGATTTCATGAAGAATCGTCAAGCTTCATAAGATTCTTCGATTGTGTAGTCAAGTAGAATGATATTGAATTTTATGGAATCATACGGTTGATTCCATGAAAAATTTTGAAATCCTATATATCCTAAAATCCAACATCTGATGATGTGTAACGTTAAAGCTTGTATAAAATCCACAGTACTATTGAACAACAATAGTTCTGAGTTTTACGAGATTCTGTTTGACTTCATATTGTTCTAAAAGATTTTCGGTGTAGAGATTTCATAGATTCTCGAGTACTTCCGAGTTTGAAAATTTGCTTGTTTTTTCTTGTTATACATGTATAATGATACCACATCATGATGCTGTGTGATACTGACTACATGTGAGAAAGAGAGAATATTGTTATGACCTAAC